ACTAAATCATCTTTTTATGTTTATTGACCATTTGTATTATATAATTCAGAAAAGTAACTTTCCTTATGTTTATCTCTAATTCCACTGTGGCCAAATAATTTATTTGGTGCCATTTTAGTTCCTTTAAGTTTACTGAGATGTTTCATGACCCAGCATTTGGTCTGTCTTGAAGAATGCTCTTGAAGAATAGTCAAAAGAAAGTATATTGTACAGACATTGGATGAAATGTTCTGTGCATGTTAGGTCAAGTTGGTGACTAATTGAAATCTCCAACTGTAATTATTTTTCTTCTTCCAATGGTATTGTGTCCTGCTTTATGAAAAGCTGCTCTGTTATGTATATGTAATGTAGTTATGTCTATAATTATTATATAATTATTATTTTTCAATATAATTGTTACATGAATTAGTCGAAGGGTTTTTTGAGGTTTGTGTTTTTGAGGTAACTATAGGCTTTGAACTCAGTACCTTTCACTTGGTAGGTAGGTACCCTACCACTTGAGCTATGTATGCCCCAGCCCTTTTTACTCCCATAATTTTTCAGGTATGGTCTTGAGTTTGTTTTCCAGGCCACAATTTTCCTATTTATGACTCTTAGCTGGAATGGAGAGCACACAGTACTTTACCTAGCCTGTGTTTTGTTGTGGCTTTTTTTTTAAAATTAAAATAAGGGTCTTGCTAACTTTTTGCTTAGGATTGACATCAAAATGTGATTCTCTTGATCTCTGCTCCCCAGATCCTGTAGCTGGGATTACAGGCATGAGCCACCATACACAGACTGTTTTGATTTTTTAATCATTATGAAGTGTTTCTGTCTCTGACATTTTTTGTAGTTTTTTTTTTTTTGTATGAAGTACAAAGTTCTCTTACAACTCTTACAACAAATTCTCTTACAACTCTTTTATGGTATCTATTTTCCCATTGCTTTGCTTTCAACTTACTCATATCTTTGTGTCTATAATGTGGCTTTTGTAGACAGCATATAATTAGGTCTTGTTTGTTATTTCCTTACAGCGGGACAATTTCTACTCCTTAAGGTGGATAAACCATTAATATTTAACATAATTACTGTTATGGTTGCCATTTTGAGTTGTTTTCTTTCTATTTTCCCCCCAACCCCCATGTCAGTACCAGGATTTGAATGCATGCCTCATACTCTGGCTTAGCTTTTTTGCTTATGATTAGTACTTTACTGCTTGAGTCACACCTCTAGTTTGGCACTTTCGCTGGTTAATTAGAAATAGAGTCTCATGGACATTTCTGCCTGAGCTAACTTTGGACTCAGATCTCAGCTTCCTGAGTAGCTAGGATTACAGGTGTGAGTCCAGCTTTGGTAATTGTTTTCTGAATAGGTCTTGATTGTCTTAAAATTATCCCTTCACTGCTTAATTTTGTATTAAATAAATATTTTAATTTTACAATCTTAACTTTTAAAACTATTCCTAGTGGTTGCTTAAGTGTTCAAAGATGTATTTTAATTCATTAGATGCTAGTTAACACATTTATATTGGAATTCAGAATAATGTTAACTAAATTCCAGTACTCCAGTACTATAGAAGCTTTGTCTTATATAACTTCCCTTGCTTCTTCTTTGAACTACTGTTATCATTTATATATTTAAGTGTGCTTATATAATTATATTTATACTGTATAACTGGAAGCCCAGAACTGCTGTATGCAACTTTATGGTTATAAGAAAGACTAGCAAAAGTTTAAAAACATATAGTCTTTTGTGTTAATCCATATATTTACTATTTCCTCTGCTAATCTTTTCACTTACAGATTTGAGTTTTGCCATATTGGTATTAATTCCTTTCAGTCTATTGGATTTCTTTGAGTATTTCTTAAGTCAGGCCTACTGACAAATTTTTCTGTCTTTTTTTAAATTTTCATTTTGAAGGATAGTTTTTAAAAAAAAATAGTAGATTTTGTAACTAGCAGTTTTTAAAAACCTTGTCCACTTGAATGTGTTACCTACACGACTTTCTTGCCTCTGTTGTTTTTTATCAGAAGTTTTAATAATGAATTTTAAAGTATATTTAGCCTCCAAATTCATGGAATCTGTATCCATCAGTTCAACCAACCATGGGTTGAAAACATTTGGGGAAAATAATTGCTTCTATACCAAACATATAGAGACTTTTTTCCTCCCTTTTTCCTATATAATATCTTATACTGCCTGTTTATCTCACATTTACATTGTAATAGCAGCCTAAACATATAAAGTAATCTAAAGATATAAAGTATAGAGAAGGCAGGAACTATGGTACAGAGGGCAAGGACCAGCCTGCAAGTAAAGCACACTGGAGGATGTGCTTGGTTAGATGCAAATACTGAACCCTTATGTAAAGGACTGGAGTATCCATAGGTTTTAATGTCCATGATGGCTCCTGGAACCAGTTCTTCCACAGATATTGAGAACAACTATGTTCTGATCAGATGTGAATTGTTTATCATATTGATGATCCTTGTATATAATGTCACGTTTCTCTTGCTGCTTTCAAGATTTTCTAGATGTGAATATTCATGTTTATCTTTCTTGGGATTTCTTGGAGTTCTTGGATCTATAGATTAATTTTATTTTTAGTCTGTCGTGAAGCTTGAACTCAGGGCTTGGGTGCTGTCCCTAAGCTTTTTCAATCAAGACTAATGCTCTACCACTTTGAGCCACAGCACCACTTCTAGTTTTCTGGGGGTTAATTGGAGATGAGTCTTACAGACTTTCCTGCCCAGGTTGGCTTTGAACTGTGATCCTCAGATCTCATCCTCCTGAGTAGCTAGGATAATAGGCATGAGCCACAGGCACTTGGTTAGATTAATATTAAAAAAAAAAAGGAACTTTTTCCTGTTTTTCAGGGTTTTTTTTTTCTGTTCCTTTTCTTTAGGGACTCCTATGTATGTTTGTAGGTTTTATGTTGTTCTAAAGTCTTTTTGATGCCTTGTTAGTATTTCTCCACTCTTTTTTTTTTCTATCCTTAAAACTAGCTAATTTCTATGGGTCCATTTTCAAATTTATTTGTTATTTCTTCTCCCATATAGGGTCTCTTGTTTAGCTCTCCTAGTTATTTTTGTTTATCTGATACTCCTGATCTCCAACATCTCCATTCAGCTTTTTTTTAAATTCATCTGTCAGTCTGTCTGTCTGTCTGTCTGTCTAATATCTCTATTTGTGCCAGTCCTGGGAATTGAACTCAGGGTCTGAGTGCTGTCTCTGAGCTTTTTTTTATAGCTTAAGGGTAGTGCTTTACCATTTGAGCCACAGCTTCATGTTCAGCTTTTGTTTGTTTGTTTTTGACTGGTTAATTGGAGAAACGAGTCTCACAGACTTTCCTTCTCTGGTTGGCTTTGAACCATCATCCTTAGTTTCAACCTTCACAGTAGTAGTTAAGATTATAGGTACAAGCCACCAGCACTTGCTCTTTTTAATTTAAAAAAATATTTCCTTTTGCTCTTTCAATATATTTGTCTGACTTGAAATTTTTATTTTCCAAACCAACATCTGAGGACAATCAGAGAGACAGTTTATGTTGGCTGCTTACTTACCTCCAGTATGCTACTTTTCTTATTTTGAAGTTTCTTGTGGAAAACTTAACAGTTTGGATAATGTTCTGTACCAGTTGTCTGAATACTGATATTTTTCCTCCCTGAAGATGGCAGGTTCTATATTACTGGAGATTAATCTATGAAATATGTCTCTACTAGTTTATGAACCTTGATGTCTCTGCTCATTATATTTTGTATGAAAGGTAAGAAAATGGTATATTAGAATACATGTATGAACATGTGAGCAATAAGAGTACTGTTTGTACAAATTTTAAGAAATAATAAATTTAATAATCTTCCTGAAAACTTTGAGTCCCCCATCAGACTATTCTTTTCTTTTCTTGGGGGGAGGGACAGTGTTGTATTGAACCTAAGAATTCATAGCTCATGTTTGCTAGCAAGTATTCTACCACTTGAACTCTTGTTTTTAGAATAGGATCTTGATAACTTTGCCTAAGCTAGCCTTGAACTTTCAGTCATTCTGCCTCCACCTTCAAGTAGCTGGGATAATAGACACATGCCTTTTTGTTGTTGTTGTTGTTTGTTGGTTGTTTTTTTTTTTTGGTACTAGACTTTTAACTTATGGCCTGGTGTTGACTAGGCAGGTGCTCTGCCTCTGAATTATGCCCTCAGCCCCTTTTTGTGCTGGTTATGTTTGAAATAAGGTCTTGCTTCCTGCCTAGGCACATACCTGGTCTGTGATCCACCTATTACAGGCTTCTTGTCCTAAACTGGAATGACAGACAGGTACCTCCAGACTTTCCCAGGCTAGCCTTCAGCTTCAGTTCTCCCAATCTCAACCTCCCAAATAACTAGAATTATCTGAAGGAACCACTAACACCTTTTAAGTGAAACAAGACCCTTTCATTTAAAAGTCTTATGTTTTGGAGCCACTTTGTCTCTTAAGTCTGTGGTAAACACTATTAGTCTGTTATTTTTGCCTGAACTTGCCCTCCAACCTGCCACTGTTGGCCCTGTTCTATTAAAGTTTGCATGGGAAGATCCAGTTCTAATTAGTGGTGTTGGTAAGGTTCATTCTAAGGCAGGACACGTGCCTAGTGCAATAGGTAATATTTAGTCCGGAGAAACTCTGTCCTTTTTAGATCCTGATGTTCTATACCTTGAGAATGAGGGCAAGGGCCACTGGTGACATTGGATTCAGGAGATTGGTAAAGGGGAAGAAAAGGGGAAAATGCTACTCTGATTTCCTTTTCTGATATTATGAAGAATGAGAAATTAAAATAAAATTTGAAAAATCAAAAACCTTTATATTCCCTATATTTTGTATTTCATTTCCTGTTCAGTGTGAAGAGTGAAATTTTAGATTATAAAGGAACTGGACTGAGAAGTTTGTTAGTCTACCATATGTGAGGCCTGGGTTTCAATCCTATTGCTGTAGGGGAAATAAAACTTCACATGAATGTAAAAGGAGGACCGTGGAGAGCCGCAAGAGGAGAGAAGGTGAAAAGAGAGGGTGATGGGGGTGAATATAATCAGAGAACATTATATGAATGTATAACAGTAGAATAATGAATCCCATCAAAAATTAACTTCTCTTTTTTTTTTTTAGGGATGGGGAGGGGGAATAAAACCTAGGACATTGCACTTTTTAGGCATGTATTTTGCCACTGAGCTACATCCCAGCCCAAAAATTATCTTAAAAGGGGGCAGGAAAGATTAACAAAAACAAAAAAAACAACCAAGTAATAGTAGGAGTAGATATAACCAAAGCACACCAAATGATTGCCTGGAAACATTATAAACCCCTTTGTATAATTAATATATGCTAATTTTTAAAAAAGAAGAAACGGTGAACTTGTGTTCAGGATTCAACTATAAGGAGGTAGGTAGGAAACAGTAAGCTAACTTCTCATTCTATGGTGAGGCTTTGGGTAGAGAAGGAAGTCCCCAGGTCTGAGTGGAAAGTGATGGCTAGAAGGAGCATATTGACTGACTGAGACTGCCTACACACTGGTGGGGAGCTCAGAGGCTAATTGGATTTCACAAGGAGTTTCAGAATGGAGTTTCTTCTGGGGGAATTAAAGATCCTGATATCTTTTAACTTATGTGTCAGCTGACCAGATACAGTTGGCTTTTCTTTCTTCCATAGAATGTGAAGACTGTGTCTGAGACCCCTGCGGTGCCACCTGTTTCCGAAGATGAAGATGACGATGATGATGCTACTTCCCCTCCAGTGATTGCTCCACGCCCGGAGCACACAAAGTCTGTAAGTTTGTGGTGACCTGGATCGCTTTCTGTTTCATTATAGTGAGCAAGAAGAGGAGGGAGAGGTTGGTACTGAAGCATGGAAGTTTGTTATCCTGATTGGAGGGACACCTTAGATGTTAGAGCTGTTGTAATCACTGGACCACCTTTTTTGAAGGTGCTTTCTGTATGATAAAAGAGAAGTGGTATGTTTATCATTGATTTATGGATAGTTCAAAAGCTTTGAAGTAATTGGTAATTGATAATTGATAATGCAGCTTTGGTTTACTTAGCCTGTTCTACACATATTGGAAGATACACGATACTAATGTAACTTAGCTCAGAGCCGACATAAATCATTCCATCTCCTGGGAAGCATCAAATTATCTTGCTTCAGATTGTTTCTTCTCTGCTAAATGTGCAGTGCTCAGCCTGTTAGAGTATCATTGATGATACTGAAAGGCCCAGGAGAACTTATCAATGCATTCATGCTATTAATATGCTAGACATGAGGAGTGTGTTTTGATGCTGGATGTTGGCAGCGATTTGTATTTAACTTCCTTTGAAGTTCCTGCATCTCATAATAACCACAGTTGCTCACTCTCACTTTGCACAGTCTACCTCCTGTGCCTTTTACTTGAGTTAGTTTCATTCAGCTCTGAACTTCCATCAGTTGATTCTCTTCTCAGGTTTCTTGTTTGGGCTTTTTATTATGAGGAAAACTTCAAAATGAAATAACCATCTAACAAGTTCTGTGGTATTACAATAACAAAAGGCTGCCTCTAGAGTAGAGCGTATAGAGAAGTGTCCAGGTAGAAGTTGGCTAAATGACTACGGGAGAGCAAATTCAAGGGGATTAGATGACCTCTTAGGGTAAGAACCTCTAAATAGGATCTATAGAATCACCTTGCTGGCAGGAGGCCAAGTCCTCATTAGGAAAAATAGACTTGAAAATTAAAGACTTGTCAAAATATCTCACATTCATACGGCCTTTTTTAGTTTGCCAGTATATTCTTTTTTTTTTTTTTTTTGGTCCAGTCGTGGGGCCTGAACTCAGCCTGGGCGCTGTCCCTCAGCTCTTCAGCTCAAGGCTAGCACTCTACCACTTGAGCCACAGCGCCACTTCCAGCTTTTTTCTTTTTGCTTATGTGGTGCTGAGGAATCGAACCCAGGGCCTCAGGCATGCAAGGCAAGCACTCTACCACTGAGCCACCTTCCCAGCTCCTGCCAGTATATTCTTTTACAAAATTTTTTCCTTCGAAGCCATGAATTCTCCAAAGTAGAGGAAATCCATGTATATGTATTTCTTTGTACTTAACGTAACTCTTTGCAAATGTCAGAAGGAATAAATATTGAATAAAGGAATGGGTTCATTTCTCTTGAAGCATTCCTCTCTAAAAATGTATAGTTGATTCTTGATTTATAGAAGCAGCTGAGATTTAGAGATGTTGCTTAGTAAACAAAAGAGCTAACATTTGAAAGCAGTAATTAACTCCAAGTACAGGTTGCTTTCCACCATTGCACAGTGGTGGCTTTTTGTGTGCAGACCTGTGCCAGGAACTAGATAAGGAGAATATTTTAAATAAGGAATAAGCAGTGTTTCTTTCCTCAAGGAGTCAAGTGAGGATAAGCAGAGAAAGAGGACAAAGCTTGACAGTCAAGGTTTGGTAACTGGGAGATAGTTTGTTTACAGGTGCAAGCATAGAAAATTGAGAAAATCATTATGCTAAAGTAGTCAGGAAGTCAGCCCAGTGGAAGGATCTCATTTATGTATTCATTGATCCCATCTGCCATTTATGTATCTGAATGCTTTCATTGGGTAAGTGGTTAGATGGAGGAACTCAGGAATGGAGGGACAGATGTCTCCTGTCCTTGAAGAGCTGAAAGACTTAAGATAATTGTGATTTTAAAAAATAAAATAAAACCTGATACTTTGAAGCATCTCTAGGAGAAAGGAGTGTATAACTTCTGATCACTTTTTTCTGAACCTCAGTAGTTTGTTTGCTCATTTCTTATAACATTTTTTGTCTCTTTCTCACCTGGAGCTATGCCTTTTTCACTTCCTTCACAAATACGAGAGTAAGGGGGCAGCATTTTGTTCTGGGTTACACCTATAGTAGATTCCCAGCAGATGTCTGTTAAACCAATGAATGAATGGGAGATGTATCTTTAAAGGCTAAAGTTTGGGTAGTTGGTATCTGTAGAACATCAGCCTAGTAATTTCATACATACTAACAATTCTTACGACAACTCCATAAGATAGTTGATACTATTATCTCCATTTTAAAGATAAGGAAAGTGGAGCATAGAAAAATTAAGTAATCTACCCAAAGTCATACAGATCGGAAGAATGAAAGTGGGGACTTGAGCCTAGCAGTGAAGTTCTGAATCTATGTTCTGATTCATTAACATATCACTACCTCTTGTAGAACAAGGGTAGTTCCTTCTCCCTCAGTATTCAGTAGCTAAAGGGAGGAAGATAGGACTGGGAATGTGGCTTAGTGGTAGAGTGCTTGCCTAGCATTCATGAAGCCCTTGGTTCCATTCCTCAGTGCCACATTAACAGAAAAGGCCATAAGTGGCACTGTGGCTCAAGTGGTAAAGAAGCTCAGGGACAGTGCCCAGGCCCTGAGTTCAAGCCCCAGGACTTGCAAAAAGAGAGAGAGAGAGAGGGAATAAGAAACAATAATGTTAAGTGTCATGTTAGCAATTCTGTGGAAATGTGAGATTTCATTTGATCTTGGAAAGACAAATACTTACAGATGAGGAGTTTTCTTCTAATAGAATCTTTTATAAATAATTTCTATTGAGTATTGCCTATCCCCTTTTGGTTATCTTCAGTGCTGAGATTCTCAGTAATCCTTATGTGCAGTGAGATACAGAAACCTCATTTGTGAAATGATGTCATTGAGTGAAAGGACCTGGGTACAGAGCAGTAATTCAGATATTAATGTAAGAGAAAGGATGAATTTGGAGTGAGGATGTTCATCTATTGATGTTCTAATCTCACATGTAGAAGAGATTCTAGTATGCTAACAAAGACTGGCTTTACCAAAATTTTGTACCAATAATACAGGTATATACAAGGTCTGTGATTGAACCACTTCCTATCACTCCAACTCGGGATGTGGCTACGTCTCCCATTTCACCTACTGAGAATAACACCACTCCACCAGATGCGTTGACCCGGAATATTGAGAAGCAGAAGAAGAAACCCAAAATGTCTGATGAGGAGATCTTAGAGAAATTACGTAAGCCCTTTAGCTTTCCAAATCTTTTGATCCATGACTAGCCAAATATGAAGATGGAGTTAGGCTACTGTAAAGCTCCAGATGATAGGTTTGATTCATGTGGTTGGCTGGCCATGCCTGGTAGCCTGGCTATAGATTGTGACTTGTCTCACCCTGTAGCCTCTCTTCTTTCCTTGTCTTGCCAGCTTGGGTTGGAAACCACACGAGGATAGCAATATGGTAGAAAAGAGAGTATGGATAACTCACTTTGAGGATTTCAGAGATGACAAATAGCTTTTGTCTAGTGAATAGTGTAGAATGTTATATTGAGAATGAATGAGGCCTTGCCTACACCTGGTGAGAAAGGGTTCTGTGATTGGTTATTGATATTTGCCATTGACCTAATAGACAGATCTACTGTTGTGGCTGTAGGAAAAGAATAAATGGAAACTGACATATTGTGAACCTGTACTAGGTAACATAGCAAATGACAAAGATATTTATTTGATTTTCTTTTCATTTCATTCTCATATTAACTCTAGGATGGTAGGCATTATAATTCTCATTATTGGTTAATTTTTTTCCCCAGTCCTGGGGCTTGAACTCAGGGCCTGGGCACTGTCACTGACCTTCTTTTGCTTAAAGCTACCATTCTGCCACTTGAGAGACACAGTACCACTTCAGGCCTTTTCTGAGTAATTTATTGGAGATAAGAGTCTCATGGACTTTCCTGCCCAGGCTGGCTTTGAACCACAATCTTCAGATCTCAGCCTCGTGGGTAGTTAGGATTACAGGCATGAGCCACCAGTGCCCAGCTTGGTTAAAGTTTTTAAGACTCAAAGACACTAAATATTCTGCCCCAAATCACAAAGTAGAAGGTTTAGAGGATTGAGGTCAGAAAACAAACTTTGTGTTCTTGTAAGTGGACCATGTTGTCTCTTCCTATCAGATGGAAACTTCCATTTCATTTTTCTTATCAATCAGAAATGGAAATATATCACTATATATTTTTGTGTTTCAATAAACTACAGAAAAATTATATGGCCAGGAAGAATTAAATTGTCTGTTGGCTTGGAAAAAAATCATTTGACAAAGCCTTTATTTTATTTTTTGTAGTACTGGAGTTTCAGGATTGCTGGGTAGGTAGATAGTCTATGATTTTGAGCTATACCAACCCTTTTTTTCTTTTTCTTTTTTTAATTGGTCATGGGGCCTGAACTCTGGGCCTGGGCACTGGCCCTCAGCATTTCAGCTCAAAGCTAGTGCTCTACTGCTTGAGCCACAGTGCCACTTCTGGCTTTTTCTGCTTATGTGGTAGTGAGGAATTGAACCCAGGGCCTCATGCATGCAAGGCAAGCACTCTACCACTGAGCCACCTTGCCAGCCCCAACCCTTTTTTCTTTTAGTTTTTTTTTTTTCCTCTGGAAAAGCTCTCATGTTTTTGCCTGAGGCCAGCCTGGAACTGTATCCCTCTTTGACTCTACCATAATTGCATTAAAGGTAGGAACCTTTACACTTGGTTAGTTTATCGAGGTGGAGACTCTTTTTTTTGAGGGGGGGGGAAGCTCCGGTTGTGGGGCTTGAACTCTGGGCCTGGGTGCTGTCCCTCAGCTCTTCAGCTCAAGGCTAGCACTCTACCACTTGAGCCACAGCGCCACTTCCGGCTTTTTTCTTTTTGCTTATGTGATGCTGAGGAATCAAACCCAGGGCCTCATGTATGCAAGGCAAGTGCTCTGCTACTGAGCCACCTTCCCAGCCCGAGGTGGAGACTCTTTAACTAGACTAACTAATCCTAATCTTTGCCTCTCAAGTAGGTGGGATTACAGGCTTGAGCCACTAAACCTGGCCTAACAAAGCCTTTGATCTATTTATCTGTATCTACTTTTTTTTCCAAGAGGATTTGATTTGACTGATTTGACTTAAGTTTTCAAACTAGTATGGCTTTCTAAACCTGAAGCTTCCAGTTATTGTTGTTATTATTTATTGAGTAATTTTAACAGTCCTGAGGCTTGAACTCAGGGCCTGGGTACTGTCCCTGAGTTTCTTTTTTTTGTTGTTGTTCAAGGCTAGCACTCTACCACTTGAACCACAGCGCCGCGCCACTGCTGGCTTTTTCTGTTGATGTGGTACTGAGGAGTCAAACCCAGGGCTTCATGCATACTAAGCAAACATATTACCATTAAGCCACATTCCCAGTTCATGGTTCTTTAGTAATTTTCTATTTCATCCTAATAATTCTTCCTTTCTTTTTCTCTTTTTTTTTTGTCAGAGACTGGGTACCTGATGCTTTCACTCATTGACTAGTGCTCTACCATCTGAGCCATGCCTCCAACCCCTTCTTAATAATTCTTTTTGTTTTAATTGTTATTGTAAAGATTACATAAGTCAGGTAATGAGTACATTTCTTTTTGAACAGTGTCACCTCTTGCCTCATTTTCTCCCACATTCTAATAATTCTTGTTTAACTTTTCAAACTGTTAAAAATTGCCCTTGCCTAGGGTCCTCATCATAAAATGATTAATTAAAAGCCACTTACTGGTTCATCTGTTTATTCCTGTATATCAGCTTGTTCCCTAAACCAGGTTTTCGTTTTTTAAACAATAGAATTTAAGTATTAACTGCCAGCTAACTGGCCTGGGAAATGAGGATGTTTGTGTTGAAGCCCCAGCCCTGCCACTGACATGTTTTGGACAATTTCCTACTGTTCTCCCTGCCATCTTTTGAATTGGCATATTAAGATGACTCATTTTAAACCAGATGAGATACTCTATGTGAGAAGTATGAAATTCTAGTAATTAGTATTACTAGAAAAGCATATTGGTCGGGGAGACTTAAAAACCAAGCTCTTACTTTTAGCCTGACACTCCTGTGGGTGGCCTTGAGAAAGCATCTTCCCCTTTTGAGGGCCTCAGTTCCCCATCTCTGTAATACAAGTTGTGAAACCCATGAGCTCTCTCATACCTGTGGTTTTGGACTTACCAAGTATTGCCTACTGTAAGCCTCTTCTTAGCTTTTTCTGTCTGGATTACTTATACTGATTTCCTAAAACTTGGCTCAGATAGCTCTTTTGTAAAGCCTTTCCAGTCTGTTTTTGTCCCTCTGTGTCTCTTTATTATTGTATTTTTAATGGCATCTAATGTGTTTCTTTATTCCTAGTCCCTAATATATACAGGAAATATAAGTATTTGTTGAATGAGATGATCACTTAAAAGTGAATAAGCCCTGGGTTCAATTCCTCAGTACCATATAAATAGAAAAAGCCAGAAGTGGCACTGTGGCTCAAGTGGTAGACAGCTAGCCTTGAGCAAAAGAAGCTCAAGGACAGTTCCCAAGCCCCGAGTTCAAGCCCCAGAACTGGCAAAAAAAAAAAAAGTAGCTTTTAGAGGTTTAGAAATTAAGTAGATTTTTATGCACAAAAACAGTGAGGTAAAACTTTTGGTTGAGACTTACTGGGGAAAAAGCCTTAGGGCTTGCTTTACGATATTTGGGGTATTATAGGCATTTCCGGCCATTATAGGGTCTGTTTGTTTGTATGTTTGTATCTTGATGTGAAAAAATGATTCATGGTCTCTATTTCTTTCAAAGGGAGCATAGTGAGTGTGGGCGATCCTAAGAAGAAGTATACTCGGTTTGAGAAGATTGGACAAGGGTTAGTAGGGGCATTTTTTTTCCTTAAAGAAATGACTTAAAATTATGCTGACATACATTATTTTTCTTTTGTTTAGCCTCTCATAAACCTTTCCTCATCACTCTCCTCACCCATCTGGAGGGTGTTAGGCTGACCTCAGGTTTGCCAGAATTGTACTTACATGAGAGATGTACTGTTAGCTGACCAGAGTGCTAAAAATATCTCTACAGTGAGAGTATGAGAACCATATATTTTCTTAGCACCAAACCAGCTTCCTGATTATAGCCTTGATTTTCCAGATAAACCTTGTTTGTCCTAGCACTGTGACTTATCAGCACCAATAAGAAAGAGAACGTTCAGAGCTATAGAACTTCTAAAAGCCCATGTGAAAGGAACTATATTTTTAAGCGGATGCCAGAATTCATGACTTCTACTCTGTAGCTTCTTGAGTGCAGCTTGAAAGCTGTCACTTTATTATTGAACTTAGCCAGTCTTGCCTGAGTTCCTTAAGAATGGTGTAGATGATATGATCAGGGGCAGGGTAAAGGGTAGGAAGATAGTCTCTAACATACACTTTGTAACAGAAAATGATCAGGCAATCAGGCAAGATGATCAGGTAGTGAAAAAATTAACTGTCAGTACAAATAAGCCATCATTATTTGATAACCAGTACTACTTTATAACCAGTTTCCAGGCAGTAGTTAGGTTTCTAATTAAAGAGTACAACTCCGCCCGTGTTGTAGGGCTTGAATTCTGGGCCTGGGCGCTGTCCCTTAGGTCTTCAGCTCAAAGCTAGCCCTCTACCTCTTGAGCCACAGCGCCACTTCCAGTTTTTTGGTGGTTAATTGGAGAGGAGTCTCTTGGACTTTCCTGCCTGGACTGGCTTTAAACCATGATCCTCAGATCTCAGCCTCCTGAGTAGTTAGGATTACAGGTGAGAGCCACTGGCTTCCTGCTGAAAGACATTTTTAAAGTGGCTTTTCCCCTGAATTGACTTGAATTCTCTTGGAAATATACCCTCAGGACTTTCCTGAATGCATTCTTGCAACAGAGTAGGATGTCTTCAGGTTGCATCTATGTAGTTGACATAAGGCATGTTTGGCTATAGATATGTGTTGTAAATTACTACAAAATAATCAGCATAAAATGAGGGTTCTAAGTTTTACAAATGAACATGATTATTCTCATAGCATCTTTCGCAATATCCCATCTGTTTATTTGTATATATCTAATTACATGTATACATGTGTGTCTAGTAGGATTTTTTTTCTTCAGTACTTGAAGCCAGGATCTCATACTAGTTAGAAAAGCCTCTGTCACTTGAGCTGTACCCTTGACCCTTTTGTTTTTATTTTGTGTTTGAAATAGGGTTATACTAACTGCCTACGTTGGCCTTATAGGGTCACATTTACTTTGCCTAGGTTGGCCATTGACACATAAATGTCTGGCCTCCACTTCCAAGTAGCTGGGCTTACAGTTGTGTGCCACTAGCTTAACTGGATTCTACTTACCGTGAAGGTTGGACAGAAGTACTGTCTGACTTTCTGGAAGTATTTTTTTTGAAAAGTACATTTAATGTCATTTTATATTTGAAAATATGACAACTAAGAACCTATTTAATAATACAAACTACAAAAAATAAACTCATCTTCTTGACAGGATAAATGATTGAAAGATTTTAGAAGTCCATAATACTTTATAATTTCAGAGTGGGAAGTATATGTCAAGATAATTTTAGGTACCCAATGTGGTGGCTTGTACCTCTAATCCCAATTACTTGGGGAGCAGAGGTCTTGAAGATCATAGTTTGAGGTCAGCTCTGTCTCTCTACCCCCTCCAAAGTAAGTGAAACTTCATTTTATCAAAAAAAGCTGATTGTGGTAGCACAAACCTGTCAGCTATAAGAGAAACATAAATAGGAGAATTGTGGTCCAGGCCTGCACAGGAAAAACTTTGAGACTCTTATCTCAAAAATAACCAAAGTAGCAGGAAGACAGTGTTTATGCCTGTAATCCTAGCTACTCAGGAAGCTGGGATCTAAGGATTATAGTTCAAAGTCAGCCCTGGAAGTCCATGAAACTCTTATCTCCAATAAACCACCAGAAAACTGGAAGTGGCTCTGTAGCTCAAGTGTTAGAGTGCTAGCCTTGAGCTGAAGAGCTGAGGGACATCTTCCAGGCCCAGAGTTCAAGCCCTAAAAGCAAGGGCTGGGAATGTGGTTTTGATCTATGGGATAGAGTTGTAGAGCTGAATACTGCTCTTGTCTTTACTACCAAATAATGCCTCTCAAATGCAAGAATGAGAGGAATAGAACTGTGGCTCAAAGTGGAAAAGCCCCAGCCTTGAGCAGAAAAGCTCAGGGACAGTGCCCAGGGCCTGAGTTCAGACCCCATGACTGACAAAAAAAGAATGAGAGGACTTATATTTGCTGCTGTCATCAACACTTATATTGCCACACTGTGTTTAGCACTATATTTAAGTTACTACTTCACTGAACACCTGTGTTTCTTTCTCTTTCTCCTCCCCGTCTATTGTTCAGTGCTTCAGGAACTGTGTACACTGCGATGGATGTAGCCACAGGACAGGAGGTAAGTATGTGTCAACCCCTTATTCTTTTAGTTCTACATTTTCTTTTTGTTTAGGGTTAGTTTTTAGCTCTTCTTAACTCAACAAGGACAGTTATTTCTTCCTGTACCATGCTAGAATCAAACAGCAGACTAACAGGAGACTTAAAGCTTTCAGAAAAGTTATATGAGCTGCTATAAGGAGAACAGATTGAGTGATAGGATATGAGTGGCCCTAGTGAGACAGGAAGTTATTGTATAGTTACATCTAGAGATAATGATCTAGATTAAGGTGATAGCATAGTATAGATAGAAAGAAGTGGATGGATTTGAGAGGTATTTAGCAGTTAGATTCTATAACATTTGGTGTTTGAGCATGAATGTGATGTCCAAGTGAGTGATAGCATTTAAGAAGAAAGAAAAGAAAAAGCAGGGGGTCAGGGGGCGGGGGAGGCTGGGAAGATGGCTCAGTGGTAGTGTGCTTGCCCCATGCACAAGGCCCTGGGTTCGATTCCTCAGCACCACATAAGCAGAAGAAGCTGAAAGTGACACTCTGGCTCAAGTGGTAGAGCGCTAGCCTTGAGCTGAAGAGCTGAGGGACAGCGCCCAGGCCCAGAGTTCAGGCCCCATGACCAACAAAAAAAAGAAAAGGAAAGGAAAAAGCTGGGCGCCCGTGGCTTACACTTATAATCCTAGCTACTCAATCGGCTGAGATCTGAGGATCATAGTTCAAAGCCAGCCTAGTCAGGAAAGTCTGGGAAACTCTTATCGCCAATAAACCACCAGAAAATCAGAAGTGGTACTGTGGCTCAAGTAGTAGAGTGCTAGTCTTGAGCTGAAGAGCTGAGGGACAGCGGCCAGGCCAAGAGTTCAAGTCCCATGACTGGAAACAAGAAAAGAGAAATGAAATGAAAAGAGAAAAGAAAAAGGTGGAAGTCTAGGTTTGAAGAAGTTGTTACTACCAAAGAGATCTTGTGTGACTGCCTAGTGGGAAATTGCTTGTACAAAACAAGCCATTTAACCCCATATCTCTTGGCAATCCTAAAATAGTTTAGTCTAATTTAATCTGGTCTTTCTATTATTCTTTTTTTAATTTTAATATTTTGTGAACATACTGTACCAGAGGGGTTACAATTACATGGGTAAGATAATGAGTACATTTCTTTTTTTTTCTGGGGGGGGGGGTCTGGTCATGGGGCCTGAACTCTGGGCCTGGGCGCTGTCCCTCAGCTCTTCAGCTCAAGGCTAGCGCTCTACCACTTGAGCCACAGCGCCACTTCCGGCTTTTTTCTTTTTGCTTATGTGGTGCTGAGGAATGGAACCCAGGGCCTCAGGCATGCAAGGCAAGCGCTCTACCACTGAGCCACCTTCCCAGCCTGAGTACATTTCTTATCAAGCATTGCAGCCTCCTCCTTTGTTCACCCTTCACATCCCTTCCCAGCCTCCTCCCGCCCCCCTACCCAATCCCCCCCCCCCAGTCTTTCTATTATTCTGTGTCCAGGATTCCACCTCATTGTCCTTAAGCCAGAAAAAATTTCACCTTACTGCAAAGGCCTAGTTTCAGCAGCGAAGAGGGAAGGATTCAATAAATTGTCTAGAAATAAATGCTATGAAGGCATACAGAGTTCTTGGATTTTTCCCGCAATCTACTCTGTTTAGTTGCAGAGCAGGAATGCTTGGCAGGTGGGCTGTGGTTGGCAGTTGCCTGGAAGAAGTTCTTAGCTCAGAAAATAAGAGAGCTACCTCCTTATCACTGAAAAGAATTGGGCTCCTCTGAAAGAAGCTGTTAGGAACATGCTTGTACATTTTAGTCATTAGGATTTATTAATTATTCTTTGAAGTGACATAGATGCTTATCTTAAACTTTTTATTTTTTTGAGATAAGGTCTTGCTTATATAGTCAAGGCTGGCTTTGATCTCCTGCCTCAGCTTCCTGAGAGCTGGGATTACAGATATGCACTACTGTGCCCAGCTTAACCTAAAATATTTGTTACCTTGGGAAACTTATTTGACCTCTCTCAGCCTCAGCAAAAGTGTTGAAATAATTCAGCAAAGAAGTGCATGTGAAAATGCACCATGAACTTTAAGAACTATATGGTTATTTTTACTCATACATACTTATTTCACAAAGTATGTACTCAGGTTTTGTTTTATGCTATACCTCATGCTAAGAATTGTGTGAAAGATTCAGTCTTGTGCTAGCATTTATGCATTAACATCACATGTAAATTTAAGAGCTTATAATTTGCACAATGTGCATATAAAACTCTTATAATGGTGGCAGGAGCTGCCTTTGGTAAAAATAGTGATGAGGCGTTAGCATGCCAGTTTTAAAGATGTGACTCTGATGAAGAGATTAAAAAAGAGAGAGAGAGATAATACTAGTCCTAAAAAGAGAATGTTATGAGGTAGTCAATATTTTCTTCTCATAGATGAGGATTTTGAGGCTAGTGTCATAAATAACCATTTTGTAGGCTTTGCTTTTAGTGATTAGCAGGGACTGGTTAGTTTCTTAGTCTCCTAAAACTATGTATTTCAGTCCCCAGTGCCACAGTTGGCCTGAAGTTAGCTGTTAGGGGCCCCCCTCTTGTCATGTTTCTGGCCTCATAGGCTCTATAGTTTGTGATAGAAGGTAGGCAGATGATGGGTGCTTCCTGAAAATCCTGGAGGCTACCTGTGTGAGAAGCTGGCCATAGGAAAGAGAAACTTGACTTCATTATGTGCCTGCCTGTGGTTACAGAACTATGAATGGAAACAAGTCCATTAGCAGTGGCTAATGCAGTGTGGTCAGGAAGGCCTTATTTCCTGCCCCAGGGAGTGTAAATCTTTAGCTGATGCTCTGTCTTTTTGAGTGAGCAATTATTGGGGGTTATCCAGCTGGGAAGATCAGAGCTTTTGTCACATACAGGAAGATTAGCATGTTGGTGCTGAGAAATCTTCCAGTTATAAATCAAACAGTCATTTTTCATGTCTGTTTTTTAAAGAGAATTTGTATAGTAAAAATAGCATACTGGAAGAGCCATTGGGTTCATAGGTCTGAAAGCACTGATTTTGATTATGGGCAATTTTCTTATCCATCTTAAACTCAGTTTCCTTCTGTGAAAATGTAACGCATCACTTTGACTTTACAGGACTGTGAGGTTTCACTGAGGTAACATAAATAGAAGATTTGGTCCAGTACTTGGCATACAGTAACTGCTAGTCAATGGACAGTAATGGTGGAGGTTGGCTAGTTCTTGCAGTGGTTGCTGCTATTTTCTTGCTGCTTTTGTCAACTTCTTATCGGATGTGCCGTGATGATGACTGCCAGTTTGTTTCATTGTTGTCTTCCTTTTATACCCTGAATCCTTTGCTTACAAATGAGTAGCACATTAGCTATTTTTTAGTAATCAAGACATTCTTAAGGAGAATCATGATGAAGGTTATTAAGTATATTGATGTATAGATGAAGATACTGAGGCTAAGAAAATTTGTGAATGATTCAACTGAGAAGGTGACAAAGAAGCCCAAAGCTTATTAGGTCCTTCCTTTGAGTTCAAGTCTAATTCTTCTTCTTCTTCTTCTTTTTTTTTTTGTTAATAAGAGTATGGTCTCTCACCCTCAATTGGTAGGATTTGATTAGTAAGGAGGGCATTTTGCCTGGGCCATGGCCATTAATAACTGAAAAGGACTTCCAGTGTCCTGTCCAACCTGGCTACCACCTGCCACTGTGAGGTTCACAGCATTCTCCTATTCTCCAGGATGGCCTGAAGAGCGCCACAGGTACTCTTCTGACTTCAGTCCTTGCTTTAACAGTTTACTATTGGTAATGTCTTTACATCAACATGATTTTCTTTTCTTTTGCGTCTTGGGGCTTGAACTCAGGGCCTGTGCACTGTCCCTGAGCTTCTTTTGCTCAAGGCGTAGCACCCTACTACTTGAGCCACAGTGCCACTTCTGGCTTTTTCAGTTTATGTGGTACTGAGGAATAGAACCCAGGGTTCATGCATGCTAGGCAAGCACTCTACCACAAAGCCACATTCCCAGCCAACATGTTGCTTTTCAGACATTAGGAAAAGCTAATTCTCAAACATGATAGAAGGCTCAACAAAGACCAGGAGCATGACTTACCAGGAAACTCTTCTTTTTTTCTCAATTGAGGTTGAGAATGGAAGAGATTTTTTAAAAAATTAAAAGGAATAATTTTACTTCTTAATAATTGACTATCTGCTGTAGAAAACAGTCCATATTTGACTTGAAGATATAATAAAGGATTTTGCCATAAAAATCTGAATCATTCTTTATACTTCTTGCTGTTTATGGAAAGACAATTTAGTTTTATTAGATGCTCATGTTCTTACCCATTAAGCAGGAAAAAGGGAAAATATAGGGAATAAATATTTAGCAAATGACTTAAAGTACATTCCTATGAGAAAAGAGTCTATTGCTGAATTTTTTTGTTCTTTTAAAAACAAAGAGCAGCCCCCTGGCACTCTCTTTTCATGCTTGTAATTTTCTTTTTTTCTTTTTTTTTGGGGGGGGGTCTGGTTGTGGGGCCTGAATTCTGGGCCTGGGTGCTGTCCCTCAGCTCTTCAGCTAAAGGCTAGCACTCTACCAATTGAGCCACAGCGCCACTTCCAGCTTTTTTCTTTTTGCTTATGTGGTGCTGGGGAATCGAACCCAGGGCCTCATGCATGCAAGGCAAGCACTCTACCACTGAGCCATCTTCCCAGCCCAGCCCCTCATGCTTTTAATTTTCATATTCATTAAACACAAACTATATCCATCCTTCCATCCATCCATCCACCTACCTACCTACCTACCTATTTGCATATCCACATATATACACTCCTAATTTTCACACAAGGTAGTATGTCAGAAGTTTAAGCTAGGAGCTAGGAATGTGTCTTAGTGGTAGAGTGCTTGCCTAGCATGAATGAAACCCTGAGTTCCATTCCTCAGTATCACATAAACAGAAAAAGTCAGAAGTGGCATTGTGGCTCAAGTGGTAGAGTGCTAGCCTTGGACAGTATCCAGGCCCTGAATTCAAGCCCAGGACTAGCACAAACAAACAAACAAAAACGTTTAAACTAAGCACAAATGCTCACACTTGTAATCTAGTAGATACTCAGGAGACTGAAATCTAGATGATCAATTTTCAATGCCAGCCTACACAGAAGCTATCCAACTCCAAAAGAACCAGCAAAAACCATAGATAGATGGCTCAAGTGGTACTATGCCAACCTAGCAAGAATGAGTGTTGAGTTCAAACTACACCCCCTTCCCCAAATAAAAGAAAAGGGGAAAAGCACGTTGGGTTGAGAATGAGGTTTCCTTTGGCCTAATACAAAACTTTTGATGTGTAGAAGTAATGCTAGATATTCCATGGAACAAAGATCCTTAACAAAGGCAGGGAGAATACAATATGTATGAGGTTCTGTGGGAGTAGGACAGGGATCAGATCAAGAAAACTTTCAATATTGAGCTGAGGAATATTTTTATTTATTTTTTGTTGGTCTTGGGGCTTGAACTCTGGGCCTGGGTGCTGTCCATGTGCTCTTCAACTCAAGGCAAGTGCTCTACTGCTTGACCCACAGCACCACTTCCGGTTTTCTAGCAGGTTTCTTGGAGATAAGAGTCTCACGGACTTTCCTGCCCAGGCTGGCTTGGAACTACAATTCTCATATTGCAGCCTCCTGAGTAGCTATATACTGTGATTTTTTTTTTTAAAAAAAAGAAGTTTTCTTTTTGTTGGTATTAGTGTTTGAACTCAGAGACTTTCTCTTCCTTGGACTGGTATTCTGCCACTTGGGCCATATCTCCAGCCTTCCTTTTTTGCTGGTTATTTTCGAGATGTAGTCTCGTGGACTTTTCTGCCCATATCTCAGACTACCATCCTCCTACAGCGTGAACCATCAGCCTTTCAGTTAAAAAAGCATTTTTCTAAATGAAAGTTTAATCCTTCAGTATGTATCAGAATAAGTTAGAGGGTTTATTTTTGTCTTGTTTTGTTTTTTTTTGTTGGTCATGAGGTTGAACTCTGGGCTTGGGCGCTGTCCCTCAGCCCTTCAGCTCAAGGCAAGCACTCTACCACTTAAGCCACAGCGCCACTTCCGGTTTTCTAGTGGTTTATTCAAGATAAGAGTCTCACGGACTTTCCTGCCCAGGCTGGCTTTGAACCATTATCCTCAGATCTCAGCCTCCTGAGTAGCTAGGATTACAGGAGTGAGCCACCGGCGCCCAGCGAAGAGGGATTTTTTAAATAGGGCTTCTGATTTAGTAGATTTCAGGTGGGGCCCAAGAACATTTGTTTCCACGTTCTCTGATGATATTAATGCTGCTGGCTCAGGGATTCAGAGCCACTTTCCTAACATTACATATGAATTATTTGAGGGGCAAGGCTGTATATTAGTTATCTTTGTCTTCTTAGTACTTAAGCTCTGGTACTGAGTATGTACTCAGTAAATGTTGAATGACTGGTTGCACCCTGTGATTTCAGGTGGCCATTAAGCAGATGAATCTTCAGCAGCAGCCGAAGAAAGAGCTGATTATTAATGAGATCCTGGTCATGAGGGAAAACAAGAACCCAAATATTGTGAACTACTTGGACAGGTATGACGGGTTGGCCTCAACAGAGGGTTAGGGCCTTTGGGCACTTGAATGAAAGCATTTCCAAGTTTTGTCCTCTGCGGTGTTGAGTTCTTTGAGTTTGACTTTGTATAACAGACACCTGATTGCTGGAAAATCCTTCTGGGTGATCTTGAACCTTACCACTCTAACTTCTAACAGCTGATCCCACTCCTATTTGTTCTGTTCCAGCCAAGTCTTTCAGCCTATCTGCCAGAGTCAATATCTAAGTCCTTATTTCATTCTACATCCTGAGCATTACCTTGTCCTGCTCTTACTCATGAAGAATTCCTAATGTTTCTGTATTCTCTTAAAGTAGGATGGATGCTCAGTACTAGATACTCCATTTGCAGTCTGAACACTATGGAGAGAGTCAGACTCATGCCAAACAGCACAAACATGTGTGTTTGGTTTTTTTAGGGTGCTTCCCAAAGTAGCAACTAGAAGTCTATACATTTTTTAAACACAAACTTGTTTTAAACTACAAATTTAGAAATCTTTAGTTGTCTTCATTAAATGTCAAATTTTTTTTGTTTCAGCTTATCATTGTAGCCTGTCAAAATTCTTTCCTTCAGGACAGTAATAATGAATTTAATTAACATGGTGCTGGCTTTGCTCTGTGCCAAGAACTTCCCCAAACAATGTCTCATTGTGATGTAGTCAGCCTTTTGCTCCTGTGACAAACACTTGTGATAAGCAATGAGGAAAGAAAAACTTACTTAGTTCATGGTTTCGGAAGTTTCAGTTCAGGCTGGGAATGTGGCTTAGTGGTAGAGTGCTTGCCTACCATGCTCAAAGCCCTGGGTTCAATTCCTTAGCACCACATAAACAGAAAAAGCTGGAAGTGCTGCTGTGGTTCAAGTGGTAGAGTGCTAGCCTTGAGCAAAAAGAAGCTCAGGGATGGTGCTCAGGCCCTGAGTTCAAGTCCCAGGACTGGCAAAAAAAAAAAAAGCTCTAAAACAAGTTTCAGTTTATAGTTGCTAACTCCATTGCTCTAGGCCTTCAGTAAGGCAGCAACATTATTGAAGAAAGGTTTTGCGGAAGAAAGGACAAAGCAAGTTCAGTCCTGGTAACTCTGTACTGCTCATTCTGAACAAAACATTTCTCAGATGACTAACATGGCATAAGCAGCTGAGTAGAATCTGATCCAAAGGTTTAAGCAACAAAGGAGGCAACATAATATGAAGGCAAAGATGCCAAATTTCTGTATATTATTTTAGTCATTTCTCAGATATCTGAAGGATCAATAGCAGAAGCAGCATTTTTAGCATTTTCGCTGTCTCCCAAACCTAGGTAGGAAATGCCTTCACAACTCTTGGAAAGTAAGTTAGGCATTATCATAACTCACACATCAGAAGGGTTATGTACAGGGGCTGGGAAGGTAGCTCAGCGGTAGAGTGCATGCCTTGCAAGCATGAGGCCCTGGGTTTGATTCCTCAGCACCACATAAACAGAAAAAGCCGGAAGTGGTGCTGTGGCTCCAGTGGTAGAGCGCTAGCCTTTAGCTGAAGAGCTGACGGACAGAGTTCAGGCCCCATGACTGGCAAACAAAAAACAAAAACAAAACAAAACAGAAGGGTTATGTACACCAGAGCTAGTGGGAGACTAATAATGTATCACCCAGATAGATACATGACCTCCAAAATTAGTAAAAGAGCAAGTGAAACTAGAGTGCTGACTTTTTTCTCAGTAGCACTTGGATGCCATTACCACCTACCTTCCTTTTTTGGTATCTTTAAAGAGGAAAGGGGTTGGACTTTGACCTTCTTTATATATGAAGTTGATGCCTCTACAGAGGAAAGCTTTATTCTTGGAGTGGGCTGTATCTCTTTGATATTGTCCTAAGCAGCTCTGAAGAATCCTCTGTAGTTATTACTCATCTTTAAGTTCCTTAAGAATATATTATACATGGAACTGGGAAGGTGGCTCAGTGGTAGAGCGCTTGCCTTGCATGCATGAGGCCCTGGTTTCGATTCTTCAGCACCACATAAGCAAAAAGAAAAAAGCCGGAAGTGGTGCTGTGGCTCAAGTGGTAGAGTGCTAGCCTTGAGCTGAAGAGCTGAGGGACAGCGCCCAGGCCCAGAGTTCAAGCCCCATGACTGGACCCCCCCCTCCCCCCCCAAAAAAAAAGAATATACAGAAGCTATAACTTGGCCAAATTACTGAAGGCAATAAAGGTAGAATAGTGTGGCTCAGAATAGAAAAAAATTAAAGTATCATATTGATCCATTTTTAAATTACTATTAACAGAATACCAGAGACAGGCTAACTTCATAAAGAAAAGAGATTTATTTAGGCTCACGGTTTTAGAGGTATAAGGTCTAGGGGCCTCATGTGGTAATGGTCTTTTTGCTAAAAGAGACCTGTGGAACTCCAAAGCATCACATGACAAGGATCAGAGAGCATGTATATTTATGTCGATGCATTTGGTCTCTTCATAGGAAGCCAGCAGGATTTGGTCATAGTGGTTTCATCTAAACCCTTTCCAAGGGCTTCACCTTTAAACACCGTAGTCAGATTAAGATTCCACTCTCTTACTACCATTAACATATGATTTTGGTGATTAAAATCTTGCATGAATTCTTGGGAATAGACCATATTCAAACCATAGCAACTGTCAATAAGGTATGACTTGTCTTATAAAT